AATGTTTGACGAAAAGGAATGTTACCTATTTCAAAATCCTCATTTATTCAGTTTAGCCAGTTAAGCTTAAAGTTCATATCATCAACGCCTACCCTAATATCTGACATATATTTGCATAATATTTGCTGCGGAAAGTATTGAACGTATGAATTAATACAGATTTGTCAGCTAACCAAATCATCAGTCTTGAACTGAAAACTGTATTCAATATTCACTCGATACACACCTACTTTCACTTTAAGCATTTTTACAAAAGTAGTAACTTGATGCTTTTTCTGTTTGCGTCTTTATCAACTTAAGGGCCTTTCACCATCTAGCGTAGCCTATTTTGTTCTGATTCTGCTTGTCATTCTATAGCAACAAATTACGTACGTTGCAGAAGACAAAAGTGACTTTGCTTATACCATTTTTAGATCATTTTGAATCAGAAAATAGGTCTTTGTACTCCGTTAGAAACGTGCTTCCATTTTTTGGTTTTGAAAAATACGCCGTTGCTTATGCATTATAATACGTGTAAAGTGAAACTTTTTTTTTAAGAAATGCGCGTATTTTATAATTTGCATTTGAGCGATTTCTCGCTTTAGTTTTTAGACCCAAAAGCTATGAAAATTCAATTTTTTGTGCTTTTTTCATCAATTGTTAATTGTTCGAATTGAATTTGAATATGTCCACTGTCACGCCCATCGGATTTACGTTATATAGAAATAGATCAAGCGCATCTCTCACTTTTGGTAATTTGTTAATTCAGTAGAAAACATTTTGAGTAGTTCACTCAAATGTGTAAAATATATTGTAATATCGAATATAATTGTGTTTCATTTCCCACAACAATTGAATCAAGGAAAGAAAAGTTTGCAATAAATCAATGAAAATCCTGTTCACTAGATATTATTATGTTTACCAAATCCTTGGATTGATATATTTACTTAATCAAGTAGCGAAATGTGTCTGCTTTGAAATGAATAAATGGCTTGGGAAATTCGAAAACCCTGATAAGCATTTGGTTCTTCATTTATTTTGTTTTGGGCTTTTTCCGAACTCGCTTAAAACCACCGATTTAAAACATCAGCTTTTAGGACTTGTTATTTATGATTTTTTAAAAACATCTTTACATTTCTGATGGTTTCTCTTAGAGCAGTGAAAATAAGGGTTTTAGCTTGAATCTTCAATAGATTTTTGATGAATGGAAAATCTACTCAGAATTTGACGTAAAATCCCAATCTGTAAAAACATACAAGGTCCATTTAAAAATCTACAAGTTAGATCTGAAAAAAATTGAAAACATTTCCTTCAATCTGCTATAAACACCAATCCTTTATCTTTCAATGTAACAAAGTTAAAAGGGCGGTCCATTTACACTGAATAAATAATTATTCATAATAATAAATCTTAGAAGGGGCAAGACGCTCTATTTTCATAGCTTTTTAGTAAAAAAAAACACATACATTAAACAAGTTACAAGCCCGTTTTAAACAAAAAATATCCAAAAGTCGGCATATTATCATTAGATATAAGCTAAATATAGTTTTATTTTTATCCAACAGTATTCGAGATCAAACGTTCGAAAACGTCAGTTTTATGTTGCCAGGTCATATAAAAAAAAACATAAAAATAATATTTTTATGTGTGCCATGGTGTGGAGTACTATAAAAGTAAATATAAAAAAATGTTTGTTCTGTGATCATATAGAACGGGAAATTGTAAAGGCCAAACGGCGGTAATATTTTGAGGAAAATGAGCCCACAACAAGAGAAAACATACCTACATACAATGATATGGCCACTTATGCCGACTATTTTAATAAATTAAGACGTAGTATCGTTTCTGCTAGGATCAGCATAATTTAACTATAAAAGAAGCCTGAGCAGAAACGAGAATTCAGTCATTAGATGTTTGGTCAGAAGTCATAAGAGTTAAAGTTAAAAATAGTCTATGGTTAGGTCCATTTACTCAACAGTCTAAAGATAGCTTAAAKATAKTTAGTCTACGATTAGGTTCGGTCACATAAATTTCAAATCCAMATTATAAAAATTGCATTAATTTTGAAATAAAAGTGTTTTTAAAAACGCAAGTTTCAAATTAATCAATAAAATTATACCCATACAKACATAMATGATGAGAAATACTAGTTGCATAATCAAATATAACAAATACCAACAAAATTCGTTTAATTTAAGCGAAAWACACATTATTTTATTCTTATTTTTGACTAGTCTCATTTATTAAGTCAAATAACGTATATTTTTGCAGGCTTATTTTTCAAGCGTACCTACCAAAATTCTTAACTGGAAATGAACGCCTCTTTTGCAGAAAAAATATTGACATGCACCGTGTTTTTGAACACTGAATGTRCAATTAGAAAATAWTGTTTGTTCGCAGAAACMCCATTGGRTTGCACTGTTTTTTCGATCTGGAAAGTATCAAMTGTTAAACATAGCGTTAAWTTTTTCGGGCAATCYAACGGTTTTAATTTTTYTATTAWAAATTGAGCGTTTYAGCAAGAAACCTAAACGAGCTTTCCAACTGCTCGAAATAATTAWGAAAACATTTTAGCTAGAATTTTATTGATGAATTTGAAAGCTCGCTTTTTAAAACARTTTATTTCCAAATTAATACAAACAATAGATTTTAGTTGTAACCGAACCTGAACTATGACTTATGACTCGTATATCTTAAGMCGTCAGCCTTTAGACTGACTAAGATYGGCTGTAGAAAMATTTAATGMCTGAAKGCTYGTTTCTGCTGTGGCTTYTTTTATAGTTGAATCATGCTGATCATAGCMRAAACGATACTATCTTATTTTTCGTSTTATTTTTAAAATAATAGTCGGCATAAGTGACCATATAAWTGGRAACTTGAAMATTTTTTTATTTCTTTAATATATTTGCCTATCTATAGAAATYGCRCATACCAAATATCAGCCYYCAAATCGCAAAATKTAATTTGCAATAAACAATTAAAGTTGTGACCGCAGGMTATTCATTTGAAACGACAATGAATGCGCGGGAATGGTCGTGACGTCATAGCGCTAGTTCGATCGGACTGCGCAATGCGGGAATACGGCTTGTCGTTGAATTGTCTGGGTGTTTGACTGTTCAGAATTTCGTGCTGTGCTTTATTACTAATGGAAGCAACACAAAAACAATATTACAAATGCTGTATGGTGCCACTGTGCCACTATACAACTTTTAAAAAGCCAGATAAGCTATTTATTCGTGTACCACAAGATAAAAGCCGGCGTTTAAAATGGTTAAAGGCAATATSMAGACWGAGSTSACATGKWTACWTKCTSMGMAKWSSAMYSCCCAYGTAKSTGAMKAKCATTTTAMTSRAMGTATMAMAACWGRTYYYAGCYWWTGWCTRKYGYMTWACAGAKAGATWWTTTSAATTTGTATAYWGTTTGATTATCGGYTGCATTATAKTAATAGTAMATAAKAACATMAMAAATRRTTWTTTGCTATACTWGRCGATAAAACKGAAACARTAAGTATWTRYKAAKRWWAWGTTWCGTTTTATCGTCGMGTATTTACCTTAAATATCTATACTATTTGTCATGCAATATGAATATTAACACATRTTTCTRTGYAAGCTYYMATATTATTTATTTATTCTAGCTGGAAGAAGATAYKACATTTTGAKCAATRGRYACYRTTTGAATTTWTSGATAACATTTTATCGWTTYAAATAAGTWAAACTAACTAAKMGTYWRTTTTSTCKMWMAATMTAMCTGTTGGCTTAAAMACYGYGMRYTTCAGCAAGGGTAAAACTTTCGGTGTTTTTAAAAAAAACCAAAACAGCTTTYTGTTTGCAGRAATAATTGAGATTATTTCGTCAACGGAAYATTAATGAGCTATTACTGATTACACTTTATCTCAACAAAACAAGTGACTTATAGTAATMATATATAGAGTGACCCATCAAAAAGAAAGCAGAGGCATTTTCTGATCATTTCAGAGGACKATTATGGATTTCTTCACYTCCCTGCAATGAYTATGGTGACATTATTTTAGCTATTCGTTTAAATTTTGTTTTAAAGTTTTAATTTGATTCGACACCTGAATATTAGATGTTTTTTTATTCCTGGCGAGCAATAGCAAATGAGGAACCGGTACAAATCCCTGGTCAGTTTACCGGGTAGTTTAGTCAATATAACAAAATTTWAAATTAAATGATAAACATGTCTAGCATTCCTTTATTTGAATTCAGGAAATTTGATAAMATTYTACTTACCATCATGTCTACTAGCTTACATCTAATAGTAACTACTGATGATTTTCAGTTGAAATGATGAAAGTTAGTCAATCTGGGTATGATTAYAGCGAGAATTGAAATACTTTCAAGCAAAGTCCCATTCGGATCTACTTTCCGTTTAAAATTATAGGGATTTAACTCACCCAAACTAGGTTGTCGTGTGTCATAATGTGTCCACCTTGAATATAACATTTACGTGCCTGATAATTTTTCCCGTAGTACCCGTAAGTACCCGAAAATTCCGCTGATTTGTTTCCTATTGTCACACTGTATAATAAAACATTCCTTCGCTAATGAGGCAGATTAGTCGAAAATGGTTCAAGAAACATTTTTGGTAGGGAATTGAATAAACAACTTATCACTACGTGTTAAACCTTTGTTGCTTACTGAAGGGTCGTAACAATTATTAGCGTTTTATGGCAGTGTCGCCCTAAAACTCCAGTACTGCTTGCTAGTACTGATACTCCATTAAACGTGAAAATTATTGATTTAATGATGATTGCCTTATGGTCAAATGTTCTTCCTAAAATAAGGATGTTATCTAGTAATTAAAGTACTGCTTCAAGCAAGTTGATGCCATACACAGCGGTAAAACAGGATTTATTATTTCTTCTCCAAACAGCTTATTTTGCAAAAAAGCGCATTAGTGCCTTTTAAGCGCATATTTTGCATACGAATAATTGACACTCTAGGTTTAAATTCTCGTTTCTTAATCGAGCAGCTCTTCCAAGCAACTTTTGATTGTTTAACTTTAGTCACTTTAGTGTTGTCGATGTTTGCCTGGAAGCATACTTGTTTATTTTTCTACTGTTGTGAACTACATTATTATTAATATTATGATTGTCGGAACAACGTGATTGAAAAGTGTTGGCGCATTTGAGTTCTTATCGTATATTTAATTAGGTTTGCTGTTATTTCACAGTTAAAGTTTGTTTATAGTAGTGCGCACTCAATGTGATTTTTTTTGCGTTGATTAAGTACATTTGCGTTTGTTCTCGCCTACCTGTTGGAGACGTCTAAATCAATATTGGGGACATTTTCTAAGTAATTTTTAAAAATAGATAAACCAATTTCGTTTCAAAAGGTGTTCATAAGTATTTTAAGACTTGTCGGGTTCGATAAATTATTAGTGGTTTGGAAGTGTTTTCAGTTGTTATTTTTGTTTCAACTACAACATTAGACTGTTGGATGTTGAATTTGAACTGCCACATTTCTTAAACATTTAAATGTTCAATTTTAGTGAAGTAAGTAGCTGGTTGTGCTGTGATTTCGTGTGATTTTATTTGGGATTTGCGAATCTAAACTCAACTTTAACATGTATGGATATGTAGGTATATTTTAACTTAATTTTTTTGGGGTTTGGTCTCGGTTCAATCATTTTGCTGCAGCTAAACAAGCTTAAAACATAAACACTGATGTACAACTACAACACAGTTGTATTGTTCTTAATTTTTTGGTATGTGTTCCACTTACATATATGTAATTAATCTGACTAATCAATAATATTTATTAACTTTCACTGATGAAGACTCTTGACCACCAAAGCTTGCCGTGGCATAATTAACACCTAAGCAACAAAGTTAAAGATATTCAGTAATTTTATCGATGATGCGAACGAATGTGTGAATCATTTACGCATTCTCCTGTAATCTAAAAATTCCATTAAAAGTGTTCTTCATAAAAAACAAACGTTTATTGGGTCCTTGAAGCCCATTGTTTATGTCTCATATTGTACTGTATGGGTTAGGAAATCCTTAGACAATTTTTTGCCAGATTTAACAAAACCTGCATTTTATTACAAATTGCAATTTAGAGATTGCAGTTTATATTGCCAATTTCATGCCTTAGTTTTCCATGCATCCTAAATATTATTTTAATATCATCTACATCAGAAAAATGGCAACTCCTCAAAACGGGCATTGCAATCATTTTGTAAAATTCGATTTTATAAGTGAAATAAGCAAAACAATAATGAAGGCGACGGGAAATTCAATGTAATTTTATTCTTACTTTTTTCCTACATTTTTTTAAACATCGGTAATTATTGCACTGTTTATGATTGAAATGCGTTGCATTTGATCATTTTATTGCTTTGATTTGCTTTATATCAGGCATTTCTGATATATTGTAACTATAACTTCGTCTACATGTTTCCAAGTACAAATAGTTTCTTGTCAACAAAAAATTTTTTGAAAATTACGAACAAAACCTTTGCTATTGAACGTGTCAGTATGTGGATCAGTTGCAATAATGCAGTTAAAATTGATTAATTATTTCCAATTCCATTCAATAGTAGAAAATTATATATAATCACCGCTTATTCAAACTTACTTTTTTGTCACTTTGTGTTAATAGTTATCGAAATCCCAATAAAGTAAGCCCTTTTGAAGAAGGAATGCGACTCAAATTAAGCAAAACATATTCCCTCATACGAAAAATGAATAATTATTCTAGTGCCTGCAACTGTAATTTTTTACATAAGATTTTAAATATGTATATCAAACGGTTAGACCTAGAAATACGACATTATACATGAAATATATTTAGACTTTGGAGTAGAATAAAAAATCTAATAATATATAGGGTGTTCCATTTAAAATAAGCAAGTTGATACCTACTTCCGGTATAACCGGAAGTGTGGACATCTTGAAAATAATTCATCTCGCTTGCCTCCCATGACATTGAAATTTCTCCTTACTATAGTTTGATAGATATCAATCGCTGTGGTTGTCGGTGGGACACCCTGTATATGTTTCTGACGTAACCAGATTAATGCGGCATTTATGAAAATAGCGACTTTTTGGAGATTTCTGTTTTTATATAACTATTTTAGTCGCCATTTTTTCAACCAGATTGATTTACAAAATATGTAAATTCTTTTCACTTTAACATCATATTATAAGAAAAATTATTTTTCGGTCTTGTCCTTTTGGGTGTCTGCGTGAGCGACCAGAGCTAAATCGCCTTACGTACATTCGGAAACCGTTCCTTTATCAAACAGGTGCCAAATTTGAATATTTTCAAGTGAGTAACAATATTACAGAAGTTTGAATTTCAGTTCGATTTTTTTTTGTTTTTACTTAAAACAAGCATTTATAACATTAATCAAGTTGTATTGAATTTCAATAATATTTGTTCATAGTTCATGGTTTCAATAGTTTGCATTCCTGTCTTCTTTTACCTGGTTCGATATGTAATTATTATTTATTTTAATGATTGAATTCGTATTTTACATGCAACTGCAAATTATGAGTAATTTTTTTGTACTTCCAAGTAACAGGCAGTAAATTTTCGTGGCTTTGACTCACCTTGTATAGTCAGTCGTGTACATCAGCGGTATTTGTGTCAGTTCGATAAAATTAATGTAATACTTCGGTTGTCATTTAAAAATGTTACGACGATCATTTATGCTTAAAGTGCGTATGGTTTCGCATTGGTTCAAAACCGATTCCGTTAAGGCGAATAATTACGGTGAAACATATTAACTGGCATTTGGAGATATTGGATTTATTACTTTTTTGCACACAATTGAACAGTTGAAAAATACTTGCCTTGCTTTGTAGATTTAAATGTGTGTTCAACCTTAGTTGAAGTGTCAAGGATTTCTGTACACACATTAGATGTATTACTGTATTTAACTCTGGAATTACAATTACTTTAATTTACGTAGCATTTTTTTCTTGAGGTGTGAAGCATATTTTCGATAGTTCCTCGACGTGCGACTATCCTGCCTTAATTAGGTATTTTCCGGTAAATAAGACATTGTATAGAAAACATGTTTTAACCGTCAGAAGCATGATGTGCGATGAATTTGATGATGAATTACTGGTTTATGATCCACATATGCTAACTAATCCTTATTGTTACGAGTTGTATCTTCTTCTTCTCTAGTGCTTATCTGTTACCGAATATTGGCAATCATTCTAGCAATCATAATTTTATTTGTTTCTGTTTTTAATTGTAATTTGTTTATTGTTCAGTCAGGATATTCGTCTTCGTCCAACGCTTCTCCTGCCCTGCAGTTTTCCCTGTTAGATTAATTTTAGTAGTTTGTATTTGGTTTCGTTTCTCATGTGCCCCAGATATTCCAATTTTCTACGTTTTACTGTGTATATTATTTCTTTTGCTTTATTTAGTTTTTGGATATAGAATATATAAATAATCATTATTTCCTACAGAAAAAGGCTATCGACCCAATCGGTCTTTCTGCCCTAGTTTTTGGATTATTCGGGTGTTCGATATTTTGTCTACCCATGATATTTTGATGATTCTTCTATATGTCCACAACTCGAACGCCTCCAGCCTCTTTGTGGTTGCCTCCGTTAAGGTCCAAGATTCTACTCCGTACAACAAGATGAGAATACATAGCATCGGAGCAGTCTGAGTGTCAGTTCTAAATTCAAATTATGTGTCTTGAATAATTTGGACATTTGATTGAAGGTTGTTCTTGTTTTTTCAATTCTTGTTTTTATTTCTTGGGAATGGTCCCATTGTTCGTTTAGTACTGTGCCGAGATATGTGTATGTTGACAATCGTTCTACCGCTTTCTCATTGATGGTAAGCTTTACTTCTCCAATTCTTTCCTTACTCATTACCATGACTTTTGTTTTACGGGTGTTGACTTCTTGACCATATTTCTTACCTACTGCAACTACCCAGTCCAACAGCTGCAGTCCCTATGCAGTGTCTGCAAATATGACGGTGTCATCGGCATATCGAAAATTGTTTGTTCGTTCGCCATTTAGTAGTACTCCTGCTTCCGTGTATTCTAGAGCTTCTTGGAAAATTGCCTCTGCGTACATGTTAAACATGAGAAGTGACATATACATCCCTGTCTTAAGATTTGCACTTCCTCTGTTTTGGCATGGTTAGTTTTAACGGAAGCTGCTTGATTCCAATTCCAGAATTTAATAAATATTGAGCTCTTAATTGTGCGTGTAAATCTTTGCCGTCAAGTCGTCCACTATCTTGCAGAACTTCCATCAATTTGTTGTGTTGAACTTTATCGTATGTTTTTTATGTAATCGTTCCATGTTGATGTTATTTGTTCGATGTCTACAATTGTTTCGCTTTGTTCATTTTCCAATAGGTAAAATTACCTATTGATTTCTTCTTGAATTTTGCTGTTATTTCCTTGATCTTCTTCAGTTGAGAATGAGTTGTATCTACACTTTTTATATGGCTTACTTTGTACTTAAATATACCTATAATATTTTTCGAAAAGCCACATTTATAAAGGCTTTTTCGTATATATTCTCAAATTTTCTGTCAGTAGAAGGCCTTGTAGGAACAATTTAAATTTATAAGTCTGAAGATTCAAGTTATAAAATTCGTATATTTTTTACAGGGGGATTTTTCGCTCATTAGTGCTACACAACGCGATATTTCAGGAAATATAAATTTTAGAAGGAACTATTTTCTATCAAAGTGTTTGGTGTTTAATATTTAAAAATTATTTTCCAATATAAGACGTGCATCAGTAGCAAATATACAGGGTGGCTCATTTGAAAGAACCAGCCAAATATATCGTAAATTATAGGAATTACAAAAAAATTATGCAACTGTTGTAAAATTGCTAGGTGGAAACCCGAAGGTGGCTGATATCAACTTTTGGATAGATGGCGCTGTTAACGTCAGGTAGGGGACAAGGGACAAGTTCAATTTTTTAAATGTATTGGTATATTTTTTACTATGAAATCTCATTCAACAATTAACTCTAAATGAAAAAGTATTAAAGTACATATGGGCTAAAGTTTATGGATTTAAAAATACATCCTGAATTTCGTATTTTTTGTTTTCTACCATTCGTATAATTTTAATTTGCCATCAAGTGTGTTGACTCGTTGTCCATATCCACCTATATCCCGTATAAATATGTAAAAATAATATACTTAAATAATCAGAGATTTTAATCTTTAAATTTTTATATGACCTCTTTTTAAGAGGAGACATGCTCTATAATCTACTTCAATTTTATATATAAAGTTTCGAATATATGTATTGGTTATGATTAATATTGATATTGTTAATTGCATCCACTATTATTTTAAAGCGTCTAACTAAAGTCTCATACACAAAATTCTTTAAATAAGCCCAGAGAAAACTCCCAAGACAATGAGATTTGGCTGGTTCTTTTAAAATGAGCCACCCTGTATAATAACAAAATGTATATAACAAAATAAGTTTTTTTCATTATAAACCTTTTTTTGTTATAGATTCCACAGAAATCGCTGCTGTACTACTGCAAATTTGGAAATCGATCTTCTCAGACTCGAAGGGAACATGATAAGCTTCATATTGACCTGTTTTAATTCATAACATAATAAT